CCTAATCTTTAAGATCTTACGTGGAAGTCACACCATCGACTACGCCAACTCACTGTATCGTATCAATTACCAATACATGATGAAGAACCAGCTTAGTTTAGAGAAGGAACAATATATTTAATATGAATAGAGACCACGCCTGCATGGCCGAGCCATGCCACTCGATCAACTCCAGACCATTCAATTCATTCTTCGCGCCTTCTCCATTGTTAGGTATTTCCCCGAGTTAAATATTGAATATCTATTTCCTGAGTAGTCTCGTGTTCACAGCTTTGTGGATTGTGTGGCTATTGTCCAATGCCACTACAGACTGCTGCTACACTGGCTGTCTTTATCTGCATTTGTCCGTGTGCATGGGATAGGAGAGCTAGGTCATCTGTGAAGTCCAAATCGTCTAATTGGTTCTGAGTTGTCCATTGTATGCCGTGTTTTCCCTCAGATGTCGTGGTCTTCATAATCCGGTCGACCACCAGAAGAGAGAGGAACGGAGAGAGTAGACAACCTTGTCTAACTCCGGTCCTTACTTCGAATGCGTCTGTCAGCTGTCCTCCATGCACGACGTTGCACTGAAGTCCGTCGTATGAGTTCCGAATCATGTTGACAATCTTCTCAGGAACTCCTTAATGTCAGAGAAGTTTCCATAATGTTCTCCTATCTACACTGTCAAACACTTCTTCATAACTAATGAAGTTGATGAACAGTGACGAGTTCCACTCAACTGATTGTTCTACGATGATCCGTAGTGTCTGTGCATGACCGATCTTTACGGAATCCAGCCTGTTGATCTCGAAGTTAGGTGTCTACTGCGTCTTTCATCCGGTTCAGCAACACTCTGTTAAAGACTTTCCCTGGTATTGACAGCAGTGTAATGCCTCTGTAGTTTTCACATTCGCCCGAATCTCCTTTCCTGGGAATCTTGATGATGTGTCCTTCTTTCCAGTCCATCGCCACTTGTTCCGCCTCCCAACTCTTTCTGAATAGAAGGTGAAGCATGTTTCTAGTTACTTCCATGTCTGACTTCAGTGCTTCAGCTGGTATTTTGTCGGGTCCATCTGCTTTCCTGCTCTTGATTTGTCTGATAGCCATTCTGATTTTTTCCATCGTTGTTGGTGGGACATCTATGGGAATGTGTGTGTGTGCTGCTTCGATATCCGGTGGGTTCAGTGTGGCTGGTCTCGAAGTACTCTACCCATCTGTAACGCTGCTCTTGAATTTCAGTGATTGGCCTTCCTTCTTTGTCTTTGACCGGTCTCTCTGGTTTACTATATCTCCCTGCTAGTTTCTTCGTTGCCAATACTGCCATGTGGTATCTCCTCATTTCCATTGCCATTTGACTGGTCTTCCCGGTCTCCCACATTGTTCGGACGTTCCATATACCTATAACAACTAATGCTCCGGTTGTTAGAAGTGGCATCGGCCTCGTGGGTTACGAAGAATTTGAGCTTTCACCACGAGCCGTCATAGTTCTTCTAAATGAAGACCTACTAACTCCCAGGGCAGAGTTTAAATGGTTGGAATTATTTTTTCTGGTTGGAGTTTTTTCAGCGAGTTATTTTTCTACGGGATGGGGTCACTAACCCCATGCCCAACCATCCTCCTTTACCCGGGCTTTGGACCGGCGGTAACTCTAAGAGGGTCACAGGCGGAGTTATAGCATTTATATGCTTCAGCGAAAAAAACGTGGTCAAACATCAAGCTCTAGCAAATATGGTCTTAAAATGATGTAAATAGACAATGGCTGGCAACGTGAGCAAGGACCGAATGGTTATCTGGACCCGAAACTTCATGTTGTTTTTTCACTTAGAGTTTCACCGTTTTAAACTATGGACTATCCTGCTATATTTTTTCTTCCTGCATCTGTCTGCCTAATTTCCAATTTTCGAGTTCCATTGCCAAACAACAAGAACAATATTCCGGAAACTTACGGTGAGCTTAAGCTATAAAGTTTCTGATATTTTAAGCTCGTTTCAGACTGTTAATAAAATGAGGGTCACGTATTTATCTGAACATTGATTTTTACTAAATCAACTGAGTGACGAAATAAATAGCATCACAAACACCCCGGAACTAGTTGCAATATCGAGTGTTTGATCCATTTCCTTTTGGATCATTACTACTATTCACAAATTGCCCTATACATGTCAAGTTCATTTAATTGTCTCTACGCTTACAGACTGTAATATGCATTTGCGTGTTTTTGCAACGTGAAGTAACTTTCTGTACCCTAATATGAATTGTTAGTAATACCTGTTAATTGATCAAAATATCCTCATGTATTTTGTCTGATGTAGTTATTTGCATGTTTTCCGTTATTCTCTCTAAGGCGGCAGAAATTAACAATTGTACATTGGATCGTACTGTGACTTTTGCTTCGGTGAAACGCGACCATAATGTCATTAGTTCAGCTGTATGCAACGGCGAATTAAATAATGAAAGACACATCTTAAGCCTTGATCAACGATAGCCCCGACAAGGAAGATTGAAGAACACAAAGTGTAGTTACCTATGAGCGGAATTATAGGTTAAAATACAAGAGAGGAGAAGGAATAAATAAATGACTGTCCAGTTAAGCGCTGTGGAGAGAATTTCAGCGTATTGTTTTCGTTAATCTGACAGTTGCGCCGATCGTTCGTTTGGACATTATCTGTGTAACGGTTGAATGAGTAAATTCAAAGATATACGAATACTATGGTGGGGTTTGTGGGGAATTCTATACACGTGTTGCATGTAAATAAACGAAAAGCGTGATCAAGATGACGTACATTTAATTAGGGAGTCGGCTCATTGTCTGCTGTGTAAGATAAAAGTAAATGCACAGCGTATTGTTTGCATCGGTAAGAAGGGTAACCACTATAGTACCCAAAGTTTAAAAGCTGCAGAAGATGTGACCTTTTCGTAAAAGGCTTACGCAGAAAGCTTATTATCTAGCGTCACGTAACATATTACTTAAGGTAATAAGACGAATTACTTGGTTACAACTTTGGCTGAGATCGCTTGTGTACATGCAATGCCTTTTTCCACAATGGGTCTACTTACAAAGTATACATATACATGATTTTCATTAAAAATTGACGGGAATGACAGGGTGATCTTATCCGCAACGCAACACAATATATGAATAGTTCATTTTAGAGTAAATACAAAACGTTATTAAGCCTCATAAACATATTACGAAATAATCTAACGAAATTGAGAAACTCGCCTGGGTTATTCTTCCTTTTAAATAATGATGTTTTGAAATAGACAGTAGTTCAAATTTAGATTACATGCAAGGTATTGTTGATTTATTTCTTGGTTTGGTGTTACGTTGTAGACAAATTTTGTATGGGTCCAAAAGTGATTTGAGCTAAATCCGTAGCACTGCCAGTGTAGATCACCAACGAAGATGATCTGCGCCAAATGTTTGGGGGCCTGCCCAAGTTAGACGGAGATGGTGTGATCAGTCAGCTGACGTCGAATGCACACCTCGAGGCTAGTACAAAAAATGGACTACCCTTCCGTCATATCCAGGTACTACCGCTGCTTTAACGACGATACGGCACGAGCAACTTTATTACAGAAATATATTGGTAAGAGTAGGTACAACCGAGTGCGACCACCAAACATGGGCCAGTCCATGGTGTGCAATTAACTGGTGCAAGTTGATTGTCCTTCACATTGATGAGAAGCGGTGAATTGTTCGGCACTCAGAGACCCAACTTGCAGATGATTTGGCTAGGACACATTGACATTTTACTGGCCCTACAAATCTAAACGTCGATAGGCACAAAAAAGGAACTCGTCGTCGTCTGAGACTACACTCTATGGGCCATCCATGTAAGGTGATCAATTCCTCGCCAATATACTGTGAGCTTTGTCATATATATATCGTTCAAATTTCACATTTTGACACATTCGAAACTTTAACTCCTATTTCCGGTTATCAAGTTGCTTGAATTTTACTATTGTAGTAATGATAGTAATTATTGAATGCTTTTACCAATAAATATATATGGGTTAAATGCTCTTACCTAGTGGTTGTCTCACGTTACCGCCAATTTTTCACTCGGGTTCTTTTATATTCTCCTAGGACACAGCACAATCATACTAGACGCAAACCTACCAAAGACTGAAAGTTACAACATCACGCGGATGGAATTAATGACGATCGAGAATACCGCATCAAGGCAAACATTAATTTCACAGAGAGACTTTGAGTTATGTGACCTTTTATCGAAAAAAACCTAACAGAGTGTGTTAAGTAAAGCAAGAGTTCATTATTAATAGCTTGTAGCGTGGCGTCGAGTTGGGATTAACTATGAACACTGTTACCAAGAAACACGTGCCAAATAAATCAGGAGGCGTAGGTTGAACTTAACCAAAGAAACCCATAAAATCTCCGAGAAGCCAAATACCAAGTCGAAATATATTTGCTGGCGATCTCGTGGTATCGAAAGGATACCGAGATCGTGCCAGGATACAAACTTGGTTACAGAACGTAACCGAATTCGCGCGAAGTTACAATCAAAGTGTGAGTATAAGAATGGAAGCACAAAATAGCTGTCATTAGCACAGTTAAACAAAAGCACATTAAAACAAACACTGGTACAGTTGGTTATAATAATAATTGTTTCTATTAAACCAGTCGTGTTCTCGTGATAAATGGTGAGTCACTACAAGCTTATGATGGAGGTTCATAAAGCCATTTGGTTTTAGAAACGAAGGTAATTTGCTTACATTAAGCCGAGCTCGCGAAGTTGATGTAATGAATCCATTTAAACCCTACGCTGCCTCACCGTTTCTTTCCTTTAGTTTTCTGTTTTTACAAAGTGTTGCTTCTTATTAGAGAGTCGGAGTAATTACTTTCGCAACAGGAGAGTTTTATTTCATTTTGTCGCAGGATTATACAAGTTACTAGTTATTTCAGATGAATGAGCTATTTTTTTCATTATCTAGTGATTTAAAATCCTGAAGTTTATTAGTTTGTTTGCACATCTTGGCGGTGTACCGTCTCATTTGCGGGAAGTTTAGTTTCTTTGGCTATGGAGCGGACAAACTCTGTAAGGTCTTAGGGATATTTAACTTTATGGAAAAATTCCAGTTAATGACACTTTTTTGTCTTGGTCTCTTAAAAAAGCGCTAGCGTCATCCATCTGTACATGGTACTTTTGAAGTTGTAAACCACACTACAGGACTGTCACTGTAACCTAGTTACGATTCCCTCCTTTTTGATGTCTACATTTACTCATGTCGTTTTGAGTTGGTTATTCATCTTTATAGCTGAGGTAGCTTCTCAAATTACACTGAAAAAAATTAAGGCTTTGAATCTGACATTTCATAGCGAGGTGTGGATTTACATTTCATTATTCGTTACCTAATAATAATTATGCTTTTCTTAGTTGTTTCGAACTATCTTAAGGGTGTAGTTTTTTGATAATATAAAAAGCTAGCATTGTTTGAACAACAAGCAGGAGGTGACCTAAATCTCCACTGATGAATGTTCATGTTTGCTTATCGTCTAATTAACAACATGAGTAGCATAGGAGTCAAGATATGATGCTATCAATCAAATTAAGGAAGAATAATAATAACAAACATGATTCGAAGCAAAGAACGTTCTCAGTAAGAAATGTGGAGTAATATCGGAAATCAAGATTTTCCGAATATAAAGTGTAAATTTATCTTCGTCACAGTGATCGAGTTTTAATGAGCTAAATGTCATCCCATATGCTTCTTTTTGGGGAACCTCAAGACTGGCCATATCAAGTTGTATGTGATCAGTAATGATATTTGTCTTGGTAAGCTTAGTTAATTTAATTTATGTATGCTGAATTACAACCTTATGTGTTCTGTTCAAACGTAAACCTTGAAAATGCAAAAGATTCTCAGGATACGTTTGCCAAACAGCCCCAATTATTTGCTAAACTTTTTAAGACACTACACAACTGTCGATGGCTTGTGGAAAAAAACTGGAAATGAGTTATGTTCTACGTTTGGCTTTAATTTATGCAATTACTTAATAAGTACCTATTTACTCAGTTATGAAATACCTTAGTCCTATGGTTAAAAAGTATATATTTGGGACTTGTTGTAGGGTGGCGAATACCAGACAACCTGGTGAGACCTTACAAAGAAACAATGACAGTTCAGGATAAACATACTTTTGGGAATTTTACTGATATCAAACTGTCTGAATACTCCGCCAATCATGGACGAAAGTAGTATCTAACCTGTCCATGAATCGATCATTTTTACTGCCTAGTAGTATATGCATTACAGGTTGGGGATTCTCCGTTTCTAATGATATCCAGAAAAAATATATACTAATTAGTTGGAATATCTTATCGAAGCGTTTTTTTATGGTTGGTAGTGCTGGGGGAATGTCCTTTGGGATTTTTCACGTAATATTTACAAAAAAAAACAAAAAGTTTACTTATGCCAATATTTGTTCGTTCAATTTCTCTAAGTCCTGAACTATGATGTTTGCAGCACTTGAGGAAATCCCATTTTAAGAACCAGGTGTTCCGCTATTTCTGCCGACTGAATTACAATTGTCCACAGTTAAAACAAGATTAGGTGGTAATTTTTCGCGAAGCTGTCAAAGATAGGCACCAGTAAGCATATTTAGTTATAGTTATCTAGCTGTCAAAATTCTTATTTTGGAGGGAAATAGATGACTTAGCAGTTAACGGGTATTCTAGTGTAAGAGCTTGATCCATACTAAGGCACGTTTTGTGGCGAATTCATGACATTTTCTTGTGTCTATAGTGAATATTATTCCTCGGAAGTATCGTTATGAAAGATTACTGAAAATACGAAGTATGTGGTTGGGTAATCAATTTTTGTTATTGTGTTCTATTTTTACTAAATGTGGTTAATATTACATTACTGGGTTTTACATCTGAATACTTTGTATAGACGTGTTTTCTCAAAAATCCTCTTACACAGAAATCAACTAAAAAGATCGTCACAGATTATCAAAAGGCACATAAACGCGCTGAACTTGAACGTTTACGTATAGCCAGAGAGCATCAAAGGGAACTAGAAAGAAAACAAAAAATATTGGAGAAGGTTTCTCTTTTCGATTATTTAAACACTTCTGACTAGGAAAGGCAACAACGAGAGAGACAAGAAAAGAGAGATGCTGAAGAACGTAAGAAAGAAGAGAAGCGTTTGAAACGTAAGGAAGAGCAGCGCAAAAAAGAAGAGGAAAGGGAAAATGAACGTAAAAAGAAGGAGTATGTTTCATGCTATTCAAGTTTCTTAGTTTTGTTTGTCTTCGTTATTCAATACTCATTTTTTGTTCTAGGGAAGAAAAACGCAAGAAAGAGGAAGAAAAACTGCAAAAAGAACAAGAAAGGAAAAGGGAAGAAGAGTTAAAAACCCAGAGAGAAGAAAAACAACGGGCAGTTTTGTTAGGATTTCTTGTGAAATCAGAAAGCAAAAAGGTCTTGTAATTTTCCTTTAATGTTTTATTTGTTTATTAGGAAACCAATACCATCTCTTGTACAGACTGTGGACCATTTATACAATTTGAAGTCAGAAAAGATATGAGAATGGCTCCTTTGCATAGAATGTCACAGGCTTTACTTTCCTCAAAACGAAGCAACATGGAAAACTTACGACACGCATGGGTAAACGGAAACGACAAGGATGCAGCATCATCACTTGGGTTACTTAAATTCGGACGTGCTAACTATCTTCATGAACTACGAACAGGACAAATATTACCATTATCCTATCCAAGTACCTGGCCAATGTACGTTGTCTTTCATATATATATATATATATATATATATATATATATATATATATATATATATATATATATATCCATATCAACCACTGCTAGTTATCATCAGTTCAAATCACAGTTTCCTGTGAACGACCATAACAATTAGTGTTTATTTAGAGAGCGTTTAGTATATCGTATTCACATTTGGCACCTTCGGTAGTAGAAACTGATAAGATCTATTTGGGTATGTTGAGCTCATTTCCTGACCATAGCTGCTACCTTGACATGATGATCGGGGTTAGATATTGGGATGATCCAATCTATCTATATTGGGTGGAACACTTGTTCCTTTAAGTCCTGTCATACCGTTCAGGTCGGTTTTAGAGCGGTAAGATCAAAAACAACAACTTAGGGTCCATGGACATAGTTGTACTGCTGACTGCACAAGGGTGTGACGACAGTAATGTGTTCCCCTCAAATAACCATAATCTATAACGGTACTTCATTCTCAAAACAAAAGGGTTTAGAAAAGACACTGTTGACCTAGGGGTTTTATGTCAATGTTTGTTATTGAAAGGAGTATCAAAGTAGATGAACCTTATGAAAGCTTTACTCAGACACAATTGAACAACTGTGATCAGAACTGTTAAATTCAAGTGGGATTCATCAGTTCTACCCACTATTTCCGTTTTTATTTAATTTTGTCATCTATGTTCGCTTCAAATTAACAATTTACTCGACTTTTCAGGGGTTAATCTCCTACTGAGAAGTTCTCTTACTCGATGGCTTTGATACATGGTTTATGAGGGTGGGAGACATGTGTAGGTTGCAGGCTTTCGATCATATTTGTTTTCGAGAGATTGTTCGCGTATCGTGGAGCAATTAAGCAGGTATTGTTGAGAGTTGGGACAAGTCGGTTGATGAAGAAGTGTTTATGACCTCGTTGAGTGATGCTTGTTCGGGCAGAAATAGGTTGAAAAACAACGAGGAGCAACAAAACAAAAATGAGGTATCACTCGACCTTACTGACTGCTGGTCGGAGCCATGTTGCTAAGTGTAGATTACCTGGTTGGGGTCCGTAAGATAACCGCTACCCGTGGTTGAAGTGGTTGAGTGACATGGCTCACAGTCGATCTCGGTGGCGCGCATGCATTCACATGCTACCTCTATAGATCAGTGTTTCCAATATCCCTCCATACATACCTTCCCATCAACTTTTCGAACCACCTTCCTAATGTTTATTCTTTCTTATTATGGTTGCTGCTACATTATTTCGGTTTCTCTGACGTACATCTTGTTAATTTCATTTCGTCGACCTAACGTGATATGACAACTTAGACCAACTCCTGTTTGAGCCGGGCTCTATGTTGATATCTATTTTTCTGAGTTCACCCTTATCAAGCAGCTTTCGTTGACATACATTTTTGTCTGTCTCTTTGTTGATTATTTCTAACTGGCTGTCCCAAGTGCTAGTTGTTTGTTGAAAAATTAATAATCCAAAGACATTTAAATTCCCAAACGTAACTCTTAGAATCTGAAGTTTACAGTTAAGTACACTAATTTTGTCTTTATCCATCATTTGGTCCTGTTGTGTTTCGGTGTGCTTTGAATACGGCGAAATTTGTCATAATCTGATGGTGGGATGATTCACTGGACGACTGACGACAGCAGAATTTCCATCAGTAATCTTCACTGTGAATGGTTGTTTGATGTTTAATGAACGCCTTGTTTCGTCGCAATGTCTTCCAGAGTTCTCTCTGTTAGCTCCAACTGAAATAACTACAAAATTTTTCAACGACCGTTTTTGATTTCAATAGGCAATAATTCACACTTAAAGTTTAGTCTTGTCCATATAGTAGTCGTTCAAAACTATCATCCTGAATAACAGCTATTGTAGCTTCGAGTTTTATATTGTTTCTCAGTGTTTACCCCTTCATTGAAAGGTGACGTGTTTTCATCTTTTCCACTGTCCATAGCCTATATTTAAGTTTAGACAGCTATTGATTTGTAACTTTTGACAATGTTTCCTCAGTATTTTTTTATTCCCTTCGCTCTTGATGGTATATAAGATTTCTGATCAATTTTCTTTTTAATTCGGTAGCTCTTGCGATTTCTTTTAGTTTAATTATGGTTCCTATCACCAAATCAAATAATTTGAAGGACCATTAAAATCTATGAAACACTAAGTCTCTGTTTTACTTTAGCTTGAAACACAGTCTGCACTCATAATTTCAGAGAATGTTAGACGAGGCACTAATATTCCGTTGTCTACGGGAACTATTTTTACGAATTCAAAAAGAAAACACATCAGAAAACTTATTACTTTTGTTAAATATGGTGATTGTCCACTCGCTTTATGAATGAAAGTATCTTATTTCGTATTTCATATCTAGTGAACCTCCCGAAGTTCAATATCTTGGAGATAATATCTACCCTGTTATAAACTCGATCGCTTTAAAACAACACGGTAATCGTGGTAGTGGTGGAACAGTATGGCTACGTGCAAAGTTATTCCAATTCGTTGAAAATTATCGACCTGCATATTATGGTACATGGCGACGTCGTAGTTGTATTGTTACTGGGCGTAGACCATTTGCTCGTGATGATTATCAACTTGATTATTCCATCGATTCAGATGATGAATGGGAAGAAGAAGAACCTGGTGAAAGTATCACGCAGTCTGATGTGAGTTAATTCATTAGAAATGATAAATAAACAGTTTTGCTTTGTTAAAACAATACGTAACGTAAAATAACAAAATATGATGCCCGATAGTATGTACTTTACATTTGCACTGATAGATCTGTCCAATGGGTAGTATATATTCCATATTATTGACTGGACACTTCGTAATTGGAAAACGGATTATGAATGAGTAGGAAACAATCCATAAAGTATATTCGTTATTCTTGTAACCTCTTTTTATATCCTTGATCAAATTTTACTCACAAGTTTTGGTACTTTATTGTTTTTTGCTATTTTAAATGACAAAAGGAAATTTCCAGTTAATTTCACATGTATTTATTCATTTAAATGTTACGACTGTGAAAATACAGTGTAGATAAAAAACGAGTCTTTTCGCTCAATATTTTGAAAAGTTTACACCTTAACTATCAATGTCAAATTGTTAGGCACCGGTTAATAATTCAGTTACTACTATTTGACAGTGAAATAATACTGGATTTTCTAAGTTAAAGCTTTAAACATACCATTGGGATAAATTTTAGTGAAGCTACATTTATTTTAGATTGATAAACTGAGTGGTAGACTTTTATTTACTTTGTCTTTCAGCTTATGTTTACGCCTTTTTTGGCTGTTTTTTTGTAATCAATTCAATGTAATTTCACGTGATTTTAATTGTGATCCGAGTTATATGTGGTTTTACAAGTTGCTTAGTTGAATATAGCCAGTACTTTTTTAAAATGGATAGACACATGTAGTGTTTTCGCTTGCAAATTACCCCTATCCTTATCAATGTTTTCTTCGCCTACTCGAAAGAATTTAGATGTGTTAGTTATTTTCACACAAAAAATGATCGTTTGTTACAATGATAAAACATCAAATTTTCGATCTCATCTCTTTCTGTTGACTTCTAGGTGTATATGTGTGATGGTTTGGGTAATGAAAATGTTAACGTTCATCAACTGAAGAGTAGTAGAGGCATGCTATTCATAGTTAACTGTCGTCTATCCCGATGCGCTACACTGGCCATCTTGATAATAAATAGCCTAGCAAAAATTTTAACGTTATTAGACTAAGACATCTAGGATCCATTAAGCCATTGATTGTTAGTTCCATGCGTATTGACAGGTGTAGATCTTCTGATTGAGTGCCTTAAAATAATTGTAGTTGATATGATTGAAAAGGTGGGTTGAACGGTTTCATAATCAGTTCTTTGAAGTGAAGTGAACATATTTGTTCTTTACACTGTTCATATGATCATTTTGTGCATTTCATACCAAGAGTTGATTTGTTTCTTTAAAATTACAGTCTTCATGTTTAATTATTTTCCACTGCTTCTGACATTATTGTTTCTTGTTTCTGATCTTGTTGATTTTGTCTTATTTCGTTTATGTAATATGTGACAGTTTTGACCGATAAACATTTTGAATTCCATTCGAATTTTTTCTTAACTATTTGTTTATTGACTTACATTAGTAGTGCCATGTGAATTACTGTAATTCAATTAATTCTTTTTATTTTAATTATTTAGTTCATCTTCTGGGAAAATACCAGTCCATTCTGCTATTTATATGAAAATTTTGTACACCATGCGGTTTTTGCACAGTTTATTCTATTACATATGATGTATTTTTGTATGACAGTTACACATAGATGCTAAGATTATCAACGTTGAAAGATTATCATCTTGAGCATACCGGAAGAATGTGCAAGATAGTAACTGCTTTTCCATTTTAAAAGTTTCTCTCTGTCATGATATGAAACCAAGCTATTCACATAAATGGTAAACCTGGATTATTTACTACATTCTAAACCACTGGCAAGAAAAAACAAAATCCAGCGAGAATAGCTTCATAAGTTTGTATTCTGATTCAATGGAGCATGCAAGATTTAAAATACATCTTATACTACACGTAGGATGTCTAGATACGACCTTAAAAACTACAAATAGTTTTGAAAACCCCAAACGTAATAAATAAATCTATTTTAAACTTGGTGAAAATCTATACTGCCGATCCCAGAAACAAACTTTGTTTTAATAGAGAAATTGCATTTGAGAATAAACCACTGATTCCGCATGGTTATTCATTGAGGCGAACTATTGGCGTTTCGGCATCGATACGTGTTCATTTTAAATTATCTCACTTTCCGCGATTCGGTCAGTGAATTTCAACCATTATAACGTTATTCAATTTATTTTGGTGATTTTTTTTGCAAATCTGATTTACAAACTTGCTCCCCTAGCCAAATATCATGATATCGTGGTATACCGTGTTCCCACCCGTGATATAGGCTCGAATTTCTGAAGACAGCATTATTTTCCACAAGATTGTTTGTGAGTATCAATTCTAATGAAACCTAAGTTTAAGAAATTCTCATTAGTCTTATAGTCATTTAATTTGTTTTATTGGTTCACTTCTTATGTAATAAAATTTTCATGTCCACTCTATTTTCATTCCTGTTCATTCAATCCAAAAATGCATCATTTTACTAGACTTTTTACTTTTGACAACTATAAATTTTTATGCCTCTCAAATTTTAATATGTTAGTTTTAGTCGAATTTGACATAACTTGCGATTGAAACTGTTCGATATTTTGCAAGGTTTTTCCACCAATCTCACCATTACTATTATTATTCTTAATTATTATTAGTTGTTTATTATTATTATCCCGGAGTTCAAATAGAATCTTTAGAGGACGAAAAAGAGAATGAGAGAGTATGCAAGAATATTATTTTATCCAACGTGTACAGCTGTGGCTCATTCTCACCAAGCACTCAGCAACATCCAGCTGTTAAATCACGAATTTGTATCACCCTCCAGCTGTTGAAGTTTGGCCAGTTAACCATGAGCAGCGTAAAACCTGGTACATATATGCATCAGTTTAAGTTACCACATCACGTCACAACAAAATAAAATAATCAAGAAAAGTGCTAGAGTAGTAGAAATAGTAACTGCATCAGTGATAGCAGATAAGATCAGACATAAGTGTTATGATTCGCGAAAAAATGAATTTGGGGAATAATAATTATAATAAGTACTTTAAAACAAAAGTGAATGGGTGAATGTATTTGTAAAATCTCAGCGAAAGAATTTGAAGTAAATCCAACGTTTCGCTGAGATTTTACAAATACATTCTTCCTCTTTAATATCTCACATTAACTCGGCGCCCAAATACTGTGAGACTATTCGATCAAATTGAGACGAAAGTTCTTCTTTATTAAAAAGTGAATAAATCCAATGTATTGCGACCGATTTCGAACCATGTCACTCAATATCTTCAACTATTAATTACAATAATTGAGGTTCCGAGAACCAAGTAGTGCATCACTAGCCTTTTTCACATCACGCGTAATTAATAAATAAGTGCAAAACGTTGTATACAGGCTAACTGACTGTTGCATTCATTACTTCATTTATATCACATCTCCATTGCCAACTATGCTCAATGTATGGGTTTTGATTAGTATATTGTATTTATTTTCTGGACCAGAATGAAGATGAAGAAGAAGACGAGGATGAGGAAAAAGGTGATGAAGATGACGATGATCAGTTCTTTGTTCCACACGGCTATTTATCTGATGATGAAGGTGTTGCTGTAGAAGAAGCTGATGGTCCGATCCCTGATGAAATGAAGCAATTGCGTCAACAATTATCTGTTGCGGAGTATGAAGCAGCTCATCGTCGTGGACTTCAACGTTTAAAACCATTATTACTAGGACCTTTATGGTTGCCTGAACCAGTTGAATGTTGTTTACCAAGTAGTAATGCAAGTAACAATAATACTATTAGTGCTACCACTAATAATAATCATCATTTTGAAGAGAATAAAGAAAACATCGAATTTCCTGAAAGATTTATTCTCAGTAAGCAAACCAATGAGAAAACTGAATTCCAATTAATGAAATCTGTTTTAAGCGTCTATCGTGTAAGTGTGTTTCGCATAGGACAAAAAAAGTTTTTTTATTACTTAGCATACTCTGTTTTAATATAAGTTTTATTGTCTGTCTATTGGTATATTTGAAAGTAGTCTAAACTTACAGTTCTGATTTTCGGTGAGTAATATTTGTTTGCTGTAATTTGTAAATTTCATAATTTTACTGACTTACATTTAATAATATTATATAACTAACACAACTGCCGTCGGTTCCATGTTATAAATATTTTTCGAAAAATAAATATTTTTTTTGTGGGAGATATTGTGTTTTTGTAAGCAGTAGTGGTTCGGTTTAATACCGCTAAGCAGCGGGTTTGAATTCCGCTTCATTTCGGTTTTACCAAACGGCTAGTATCACTGGCCCACTTATTTGAAGTGTATCTGGAAGATAAGTACACAAGTTTAGTTTAATTTTAGGTTCTTCGTTGTCTTTCTAGGCAATATCATCAGTATCATTTTCTGGGTTTCATGAAAATGTTCATTTATACAGGATAACGTTGCTGTAAATGCGGTACTATATATTGCCGAAATCCATAAAGCAGTGTTAAACATCATACATTTTATCTGTTTTTTTTATCAATGAAACTTGGATTTTTTGATGTAATTGCGATAATTGTTTTCTTTTATACAGTAGTCGAATGCGTTGACAACTTCACTTATCTTGGAAGTCTGATCAGCCCTAATGGGTTGGTGTCTGACGAAATCACAGCACGGATTCGAAAAGCTCGTTTGGCTTTTGCCAACTCACGTCACCTGTGGCGAAGGCGAGATATCCGTCTATCAATAAAAGGACGAGTATACTGCGCGGCAGTCCGTTCTGTTTTAATTTACGGCAGCGAAACATGGCCATTAAGAGTAGAAGACACTGGTAAGCTATTAGTACTTGACCACAGATGCCTTAGAAATATTGCTGGCATCTGCTGGGATCACCGGGTAAGTAATAGTGAGGTTAGACGCAGGGTATTAGGGAATGATGGTAAATCAGCTGATGAGGTTATGAATCTTCATCGACTGAGATGGTTGGGCCACGTGTTACGTATGCCCGAACACCGATTACCACGACGTGTAATGCTATCCGGTGTTCGGGATGGTTGGAAGAAAGTTAGGAGCGGCCAAACCAAAACGTAGCATCAGTGTTTGAAGTCACTAACTTCTAGTCTGAGCCATGTTGGTAGACGCAGACTACTTGGTTGGGGTCCGCGTGACTATCGTAACCAATGATTGGAGACTCTTGGTGACATAGCTAAGAATCGATCACAATGGCGTCGGTGTATACACTCTCTGTCTTCCCTTAAACTAAGAGATTAAAATCGCTTCATACCTTTCTTTCTACGAACCAATTTTTTCTTCTTGTACTATATCTCTATATGCAATCTTTCTCTTATATATTACCACCTTTGACATAACAACTGCTATGAATTCGGTGTTCATCTTGTTGTGCTGATGCGGTATGGCAACCTGAACCGACGCACATATGTGCCTGGTCCTACGTTGTAGTTGACTGACTGACTGACTTTATACGGTAGATGCTACAGAGCAATACTGTAAACTACACAACCGAGAGATTTATTATCATTTCTAAAAATAAATCTGTTTTTTAACTGTTACCTATTCAACTAATGCTTTTCACTCAACTAGTTTACTAACGAGATTGAGTAGCAAACCGAATCTGCACAAAGAGAAATTAGAATAAAAAAATTTACTAAATAAAATACACGAGAGTGTATATGTAAATTATCTGAAGAACTTCCAGCAACTTTCTTGACTCACCTACCAATTCTGATTGGCTAGTCTTTGAATACGCATAGAGTCAGTCTTTTCATAATTAACTCTGCGTTCTCAGACTTGGATGGTTTATTGAGAATACTCTCATTGTCAACAACAACTTGGAAAAGATGTTTTTGAAATTTCCCTTTAGCGTAATACAATACAACTCAGTAGTATTGTTATTTGTCAGCCTGATATGCTTAGTTCAAAGTAGTATTTGTTGTGTAAAGACAACTGTTTCACCATTCAATCTCATAATAAATTATTAAAGGCTTCGAAATCCTGCAGCCCTAATTGTTCAAGTTAAGTCCATGGGCTTTTTATTTTGTACTGTAAGCTGTATTGTTCGGTCTTCCAGTTTGCTTTTGCACTGATGGGAAGAGGCTGTGTTTTTAAGAAAATATCTTATGGAAAATGTACATCTTTCATACAATCAGTTCCTTTTACGAATTTGAATAAAGTCAAAACAGCAGTTATTCTGCCTCATTTGTTGTTTTGCCTGAATTCAAATGTACATCTTGACGATCCATCTTGATCATCAGTTATTTCTACTACATTGTACCCAGCTAACACACTAAACATCTTTATGAACAGATAAAAAGTGACTTGTAGAATGTCACTTATTACATGTCTAATATACATCTTATTTTCTCTAAGCAGTGTTGCACATAGTATACAATAATTTCAATCAGTGAAACAATCACACACTATTATATTGTAATAATTTGTAAATAACTTAGTGTAGACCATTTTACAGTTTGGTAGAGAAATATCAGAATTATAGTTTTGATGTTCTTGTATAATACTAATTTATTCATATTTACACTTTTATTTGACCATAGGTGCATTTATGGACAACAAATTTTCCGATTTCTGTTGAACCAGATATTGTTGCCACTACTACGCCTTCAAGAAGACCGAAAAAATCTATCCCAGAAGAAGGTTATTTCACAGTTCTCTTAATAATGAAATTCCGGTGTAATGCTAAAATATTTTTTATGTAACGGATTATTATTTGCTGGACGGGAAGTGTTAAGAGAAAGGAAGAGCTTAACACTTTCGTCTCAGTGTCGTTCGAGGCTTCGTTGTTGGTTGCCAGGTGTGAATGTAGTTGTCACTTGCCGGTTTCTCAAACTACTGAAGGATACTTTTTATTGATAAACCTAATGTGGGAAGGAAACTAAATTTTTGTTTTACCATTGAGATGGACACCAAATAAGCAACTGTTGATGGGAATCTCGATAAGAAATTCTTGCTCAGACTTATTGCTATATTTATACAGGAAAGATCACGAGTTGCTGTCGCGTCTCTAGATACATAAAGAGTATATTACGTTTGCTCCCTATATTGGCTGGGTGAAGTCAAGTGAATCACCAAGCTAGGATCATATAAACAGCATAAATCGATGGAATGAGATTCTAGAATCATAGCCAGTGACCTCTGTTGTTCGAATTGGACATAGAGCTCGGGCATTAAAGATGCAACACATGGTTCGAAGCGAGGTTTTAGGTGATCTGGAATGGCATTTTGTGAACTCGAATCGTTAGTATTGACAGAACGTGTTGAGGAAGTCAAATACAGAAGGTGAGAGTTGACAGAAGTGATATTTAGTGGAGATGGCGTCTGGTTATGACCGAGGTGATCTCACGTGTTGCTACGGGTATGAAGGTAGTTGTCACTTCCTGGTTCCCCACACCGCGGAAAGATGCTTCTTATTGATAAGGCTGGGAGGAAAAACTGTATTAGTGATGATCGTTCACAGGAAACTGTGATTTGAACTGATGATAACTAGCAGTGGTTGATATGAATGTTTGCTTTTGTCATTCACAATTTAAACGGGTTCTGAAAACTATATTAATCCTAATTCTAACTCTAATAATAATAATAATGGTAATAATAATAATAATAATTTCAATAGCATTGTTTTATTTTCTGTGTATAATTTGGGCTTTTTTATAGCGATGGCGTATTTTATTCACCTTGTTCATCGGAGTCCTTTGGGGAAGCATAAATTAGCTTTTGAATTTCGTGTATTTTGGTATCGTCATACTACTGGCATTCTACCAGAATGCTTACAATATATGGAATATAAAAAATATAATGCTTCTACATTGGGTTCATCAATCTCACGCGGTGGTGGTCTTCCTGTTTTATCTGGTCCAGGTTGGGATAGTTTACCATTAAGTCAATCACTTGTGTTATCCAAATTATCTGAGATCGCGGTTTTCACAGAAGGAAGGTAATTTACCTTACGTTGTTTTTCTCAATTATTTTTACATTTTCATAGTTTCAATCATGAGCTTATCTCAGTTGGACTGTCATTGGGAACCTAGAACTACTGGACAGCGGTCTCTTCTCATTATGGGACTGCTAAACAGTGCTTATCCATGACCTCAGATCCGGGGATCATTCATGATTGTTTTACCTTTAGATCAGTGACGCCGACATCCAACAGTGATAATGCCTAACTCCAAGAAACTCACAATTTTGCGCAGCCCTCATCAGCCAGTCCGTCAGCTACAACGTAGGACCAGGCACATATGTGCGTCGGTTCAGGTTGCCATACCGCATCAGCACAACAAGATGAACACCGAATTCATAGCAGTTGTTATGTCAAAGGTGGTAATATATAAGAGAAAGATTGCATATAGAGATATAGTACAAGAAGAAAAAATTGGTTCGTAGAAAGAAAGGTATGAAGCGATTTTAATCTCTTAGTTTAAGGGAAGACAGAGAGTGTATACACCGACGCCATTGTGATCGATTCTTAGCTATGTCACCAAGAGTCTCCAATCATTGGTTACGATAGTCACGCGGACCCCAACCAAGTAGTCTGCGTCTACCAACATGGCTCAGACTAGAAGTTAGTGACTTCAAACACTGATGCTACGTTTTGGTTTGGCCGCTCCTAACTTTCTTCCAACCATCCCGAACACCGGATAGCATTACACGTCGTGGTAATTGGTGTTCAGGCATACGTAACACGTGGCCACAGCCCTCATCGATTGCCTTGGGTAGATAATCGTCACACCCAATGTAGTTGATTTTCACTGATCACAGCTCACTAGACTTCCAGAAGTTATATCTTGAAGCCAGTCACTACTACGCACATGATTATTATTTATATAGGTTTTGTTGAGATCTTGGATACTCACTTCTGAGAAGAAAAGACGGTTGTCCAGTGTTTCGGGGTTTCTAATGATGGTTTTGTTCATATCAGTTTACGATTAAAACTATGATAATTCTACAATCTCCACAAACTGCCCTGTGTCTTTATATTTTTGCTTACTTTGAAACGGAACATATTTACTGTTTAGCTAACTTACTACACGAATCCTGTGATATTTAGAATGCAGAGCCGTGGTTGTCTAGTAGCTAGAATGTTCAACTTATTAACACCAGATTACAAATTCGAACCCCACCTTCCCTAATCCGGTTATGGCAGTTTGTAACATCACTCGATCCACTGAATCTTAAGTATGTCTCAAAGCTGATTACATAAGTCTGTACTTGGTGAAATGAATTACATTATGATCAATATTGTCGTTATTATTATTATTATTATTCTGAAAAAGTCATGTGTTATCCAAATGATAAATTAACTATTCACTTTGTTATCAATTTCAGTACTATGATAAAAATATTTATCTTGTAATGTGCATCGTGGTAACATATAAATATATAGAGTGGTAGTAATAATTTAGATTTTTTACCAAACCTATATTTTGTTATAACGTAACTCGTATTCTTTGTAATGTAAGCTTTCATCTGCCATTTGTTGGATAACCTGACTCTAATCCCACTTCAAGTCTACTCAAGATTGAGTAATAACTGATCTTTGTTAATTCTCGACTCAGTTACTCCTACTGTATTTTAGTATTCTTTGGACACTACCGATTCCCATTTCGGAATACGGGTTGGTCAGGAACATATGTATATTCTCATAAAACCACAAGCTTACTAAGTTGATGTTAAGGTAAAAAATTCTTGTAGACTTATAATTTTTATACAGGAAATTCCTGGGGGCCTCTCCATTGATCTGCTGGTGCTGACTAGCTAAGAATGAACCAATCAGCGTTCTGCAGTGTAATTCTGTGTGGAATATGCTTTGAGTTAATCTATGTACGGTTACACGACCGTGTTGGTTCAGTCACTTTTTGCATAATAAATATGTTTATTATGAGAAAGAGGGTTTTGCGGAGATTTTAGTAATTTAATAAATGGATTCATAAGTCAATTATAGCTAGACCACCATGGAAAACCTGGACACACTGGACAGCCATTTCGTCCTAGTATGGGGCTCAGCAGTGCGCATCCATAATCCCGCCCTAAAGATTAGAACCGTTGGATGCCTGCTCAGTGGTTTGGAAGTTAGGGGTTCGCGCGCGAAACCGAAGGTTCTGGGTCCGGATCCCGCGAGCGGGATAGTGAGTGCACACTGTTGTGGAGTTCGATACCAGGACGAAACGCCTATCCAGTGCCTACAGATTTTTCATGGTGGTCTAGCTTTAATTGACCCATGAATCCAAATATTAAATATGTTTATCTTTTTAAGTGATCGGGTGTATGCATTTCTTATCAGTATACACATCGTTTATTTATACCATAAAAATCTTAAGAATATTGAGTTTCTAAACGATCAGGACGTATAAATGGAATTGAATTTTACGATTTTATTTTCACCTATTAAATAAATAACCACTATTTCTTGATCTTCGCTTATTTTGTGTACTACAAATTACTTTTTATACTTACCATTTTGCTGCGTTTGAATCCATTTGTTATGGTATGTTATCCTTCAGTAATTATGTATTTTCATTTTTCGTTAACGTTTTATACATTCACTCTTTGTCTTCCTTCAGATCTTAAGTTTCTGAATTCCTCGTAAATTTTTTAAAAAATTATCTCACCAATTTATATTTTCTTTTCAAATTGTATCCTGTATGCCTAATCTTTCTTTTTACCATTATTACTGTTACTGACTTCACTGTTCTAGGATTTACCCTGACAGTTTTATCGCGCTATGTTTATGGGATGTGGGAACTTAAACCGATGTAGCACATGTGCCAGGTTCTACGTTGCATTGGACTGGATGACTAAACTTTTTATAGATTCTAAATCTTAATATGTTTACACTGGTGTTATTTTCTTTATTTTATCGAATAATCACGTGTTTTTAGGTGGATGGTTAACACAGAAATACTTCAGAAATATGCTTTACGTCTTTGTAATCTGTGCAATATTCAAGAATTAAGTGGTGGTATTGCTGGTAGTTTGGACAAAGTTGATAAAGATTATTTTAATAATCTTATATTTCCTTCATGGGAATATTTAACAGATGTAGCGGTGACTAGTAGCAGAGTAAATCGTGGTACATCAACAACTAGTCGTCGATCTCTAGAAGCACCACAATTACAAGCAACTGTAGATCGTTTACATGAACCACACAAAAATGTAATGACTATCAATAATTATCCAGTTGTTTTATTGCAGCCTCTACAATCTTCAGATGTAGTATCAAGTAAGCAAACTGATAAGGAATTATCAATTCATAAAAATGAACAATTGTTTCAATCTAAAAAAATTCATTCATCCGAAAAAGACATTAATTTATCGGTTAGCATAAGTCAGGAGAACTGTTCCTCTTCAAAAGTGACTACTACTATTGCTTCTACTGGTTCGTCCCATACTCCAAGCCGAAGAAAAGGAGTTACTAACAAAATTCTCACAAATGAAAAAGACACTCCTTCATCTGTCAATAACAGTAAAGAAAACTGTTCTCCGAAAGTGTCTTCTACCACTGGTTCATTACAAACTCCAGGTCGAAAAAGAGTAACTTTGGATTCATTTCTCATACCACCTGCAAAACGATCAAACGTTAATTTATGTTCTGAAATTCAGTCAGATGAAGATTGTGTTATTGTAGACTCAAAATGACAATTATTTCACTCTCACAATATATATGTATATTGTTTGAGAATATTTGTGAATAGTCTAGGAGATATATAGTTTATGTGTGCATACCTCAGTATTTACGTTTTTCAAAACCGTGTTTTGTTTAGGGTGATTTAACCCCTGCTTATCTCATTACTATTTCGATCCTCTCTTATTTCGTAATAATTGTCTACTCTCTAATCTATGTATAAAAATTAGTTTCAAGGGATGCATGCTAAATCCATATTCCGTATGTTCTTTTTGTAATTTTTTTGTTAGCATGTGAAACTATGAAGTACTATTAAGTAACTGAAATATATCCTTTATCTCTTCTCTCGCTCTTCACATATACTGTTTTATAGAAATTCTTTGTAAAGATTTCATCTATTGTCTATACATATCTCATTATTTTGAAGACAAACAAAAGTAAAGTATAGTGGACTATTGTTTTTCCTCTCCTTCACCAATGTGTGCTTCACATTATCATCTATTTTTGTATATTTATGTGTTTATGATCAGCCAAAAAAATATGTTTTTCTATTCAACAACTTGTAGATGTTTTTTTCGAAAAAAAGTTGATAATTTTGTTTTAATCTAGTTTCTAACAAATTCTAAGTAGCAATATGCAAACGTGATTGATTAATATGGAACCCACGGAATATTTCAACGTGCTTTCAAAAGTCATCATTAGCGTTAATGACATTTTTCGCTTAGTTTGTTTTAATGCATTTTCAAATGATGAAGAATATTTTTAGCGCTGAGAACAATTAGTATGAAGGTGTTCTGTTCTCTGAGCTGGATGGCTTTTGTAGTGAAGCGTTCATTATCTTTTTAGACAATATTACCAGCGCATATTCCATAAAAATGAGCTGATGTAAAGTTAGAGACCAAGTCAGGGAAAAGCAGCCGAAACACCCGTGAATGACCATACGCGTATGAATGACAACCGACTAAACTACAGGTTAGCAGGTTTTAGTAAATTGTGTTTAAATTCCGGTAGATCTCTTTCTGAAGTATATTTTGATTATATTGCCTAGAAAGACAATTAAAGCTTTCATACCAAACAATCCAGTCCAGAGAACACAATACTCCAAAAATGTGATATTTTGTTTGATTATTCCACTGGGAATCGTAAAAGAAATATAATGAAGCTTGTTCTCTGTAACTTTTTAAGACAAATTTCTTTAGGACACCGATAACCGGTTGACACTAGACACCATTTTCTTTCTAGTTTGAAACTTCAGTGCTCACTCACAACTCAAGATCTTCCAATCTCGCGGTACACTGGGACGTTTTCATCAGACCAAGTTAGGGAATTGCTACGTTTTAAGAGATTACGAGTTCACCTAATCTGTGAACGGAACGAAGACTCAGTGAGACAATGACTAAATCAGCTAACTATTCCTATGTGTCCCGACCCCGTTAACTAAAGAGAGACGTCAATGTTCAGAAGATGTCACTATATTCCTCAAACACCCAGAAGCACGATAAACAACAACGAGCACAACTCAAGGGTATATATACAGCATAAAAATGTCCTTGGGGAAGATTACAAAATATATATTAAGAGGCAACAAACCAATAACACTTAGGGTCCTCCCAAGTGTGAAGTACTACATGAAGGTGTAAATCGATGCTTTTGCTGCGAAAACAAGAAATTCAAATTTTTAAAATAGAATTACTAAATTAGGCATTTACCAAGTGAGTTCTGGGGATCTAACATCACCAGCAAGAACGAATTGTTCATATTTCTAACATAAGTCAGTTCATGACACAACTCTATCGACCAGCAGTTGTCTCTTTTGACACATTTCAACAACATAGTTCGTCAATTCTCTAGGATTTTGGGTCAAGTACTGCGATATTGGGTTTTCGTGTTACGGTCTATTGGTTGATAATATGGTTTTTAGCGCGATTTGTCAATTATTTACAGCTCCATATGTAAGCTACACTTTCTCAAGAGGTATTGATTTTACCCGGTTGATCAAATGGGAGTCGGCGTCTATGTTAATCCAACAATTCAAAATCAAATTATTTAACCATCCGAATATTCCAAGGAAGTAGGTGTTGTTGAGTTGAATTTATGACTCCAATGAGTCATCAATCCCAGTTGAAATAAAAGAGCGGTTAGCATTTAGTATTATATAACCTTCCTTTTTTTCTCAGTTGCGTTGTATTAAATTGATGACATCTAGTTTACAGGAATTTTTCGTATTTCTATGTACAATTTAAATATTGGAAATGAAAACGAAATCCAGTTTTTGGTTTTTATTCAGCTGTTCTAACCGATTGTGTAACTCACTTAGACGAACAGTCAGTATATTTTGAGTTTAGTATCATGTAATAAAATATATAGTTTTATGTTTTAGACTTAGTTTGTATGAACACGTTGTTAATAATCGTTGTTATGAATTCAAAAACAATAATTACCATTGCATGTGGGCCTTTGTAATCGAGACGCTCATTAAAGGATGATTCATATTATCGAATCCGCTTTTGACTGAATCACCCATTGTTTATCGAACCGGTGATCTGTTTAGCCGATATTGCATTGACCTCTTGACCAATAACTCGCTGGCTTAAACAATGATCACGTATATCTTAACGCTTCCTATTACGGGCTCTACCTCTTCCATTTTACTCAATGACCAGACGGAACACAGTAATCAGACAAGACTTATACTCTACACTTTACTTTTAAACTAAAACCCATATAATATTATAGATTTTTTTGTCTGATTGGGCATCAACTCAAGTGCGAAATGACAACTCAGTCATGAGTGCGACAAAAATGGCACCATAGAGGAATGACTAATTAATGGTAAATGTGGAACAGTGAAACGTATAACTACGGTTTGTGAGTTAAACTTAAACTTACAAGTTCCAGAATATAAACAATAATCCCACCTAGGGTAGTTCTGAGAGTTCAATATCTCTCAAATCCTCTTTTGACAATCTCTTAGTGCCAATACTGACAGGAAGTTGCCCACTGAAGACATTGGAAGATGGTCGCGCAATATTATGGATTGATCGAGGCTAGACGCTAATACTATTGAATGTCGGCTCAATGATCTGGAAGTTAAGCGTTCTCACACGAGACAGAAGGTCTTGGGTTCGGTTCTGGTGTGTAGGATTGCAGATGCACACTGTTGAAGAGTTGGATATTAGGACAAAATAGCCATCCAGTCCTTCCAAATTCCCAATGTTGATCTAACTTAGATCGGTTCATAGTTTCAATGAAATTCAACAATCTCCACAACCTCATAATGAAAATATATAAATAATTATTTTACTTAAATTTTCTGTGAATTTAATGCAACAGAGATTTAACATTATAATATCTAACTCACATGACAATCATAGTTTTCAAGTATTAGTCATAATAAACGCATAAACTTCAACTAGACAGACTAAATGTATCAATGGGCTAAGTCCAACAATCAATCACTTTATGGAGTGATATCACATCTAAATTTGGGTGCCCTAGCTTTCATCCTATACTTACATCAGCGAACATCCTTCGTTAAGGTTAGTGTTAGTTGAACATAGATAATCCTTACGCTAACCACCTCAATTGATAAAGATTCACTACCACACCAGCCGATTCACCATTTTTATTTAGTTAGGATCTTGTACATATTCTCTGTATTATTTATTCGTTGGAATTAAATAAACATCTTGAAAATATATCGAGAACGACAAGGCAAGTTTTTTTCACATTACCTCAGTATATTTATTCTGAAAAAAGTTTGACTAAATTACTTAATTATTTTTCATGCTAATAAAGCAAAAGTTAATTTTTAAACATGTTCATTGTTTTGCTTTAGGGGATCACAGATCAAGATTAAAATTTTATACTGAGTCTCTCATATACTTTTTTAATATTTCCAACAATCTACTTTTGTCATGCTTCTTGGCTGCTAATTTTGAATATTTTTACCGACTAAAGTAAATATTGTTTTGTAAAATATTTGTAAATTTAATTGGAGTGAGAAGAAAGTGAATAGTAATGATTAATACATTTTATGTATTGAATTATTTGTATGGACTTTTGTGTTTGTTTGAAGAAAGGGAGAAATTGTCTTTTTAGTTTTATTTAAACTATATATATAGGTTTATGCTTCACGTACAAGTGATTCCCATTCACGGTCTCTTTCTCTACGATCACGACGATGTCGGTCACGTTGTGATTTTGTACTAGATTTACGTTCTTCCATGAAAACAGTACGAATTTCACGTCCACTAGCTTGAGCTAATATCCATTGTTCCATGTTAGTATTCAGTTGTACCACCTAAGCAAGGGATGTTAGTAAAATTAATCTAAATTAATCTACAACAAAAAGATCATAATTGAAAATTGAATTTTTAAGTTAAATATTAAGTGGATTTATGTTAGATTTGGTTTAATGTAGTAATTTTTATTCTACAAGTAAATCGACTTCTTGAAACCTAAGGACAAGTTTATGGTTACGATATTCCTCTCCTTTTAAATATATACCTTTGTTGAAAGTGATTATATCCTCGATACCAGGTCTCGATAGTTATTATTTCGTAACTTATTTATTAGAATTTAAGACATCTTCTTGATCCTGAACAGAAATGATTGTTCAGTTATTTGATCAAATTATTTTGTGTCCCACTCTTACCTTCTTTCTTTCTATATTGTCTTAATTATTGTAAGTATTTGAATGCTTCAGACTTTTTGTTTTATTCTGAATTTTACAGTCTACCTGCTGATAAAGTTCATGCTTTATTGTGGGTAAGGATATGTGTTGAATTTAAATGTAAGCCGTAGATTATTGTTCTGTATAACATATTGATGTGGTCAAAAGGAGTTATAAAATTATATTTGTCAAAATGGTTTCAATTAAAGTAATTCTGCTATGAATGTACGATTCTTGAAGATCGTATGGAAGATTTTATGATTCAATATACACACATCAATTACATGAACTAGAAAAATTGATGATTTTTGGTGTTTTCAAACCCAAATACACATTCTAGTGCTATACTGAACTGACACAATAGAGCAACAACTAATCTTTCTAATATGATATTAAGTAGTTTTGTTTGCTTGTTAGCAATTTGATCGAATTTTAGTACCGGATATTCTCATCGTTCCTTATAAAGCTACTTATATGCTCATATAAGTAGTACCATCTGATTCTCGTAAATATAAGGAGTTGTATTGTACTTGATTAAATGGGGAAAAGAACTTACTTGATCTTGCATTTGTGATACAGCCTTGACAATACATGATAACGCTTTTTGACTTTCACTCATAAGTTGACGAACATGAGATATTTCTTCTTTAATTCGAGCATTACCGGAGGCGTAATTTAATTGGTCTGATTGAGCCTATGCGATGTTAGAAATATATATCAATATATTCATATTTGTGTGAGTACATTTTTCACTTATAATAATGTAGTAAATTGACTACTAAATAAGTGAACAATTTCACACTTTATGTAATAAAGAGTTGAAGGTGTCTTATTTTAGTAAATCAATCAGAGTCAAGGTTTATAGATCCAATTGATCCTTGAA